ATCGCATCATATGACCCCTTTAAAAAAAAAAAAACCTTACTGACCCCAAACTTTTGAACAGTAGTGCACTATAGAAAGCAGTACACTAGTAGTCCATTCCACACACAGCCAACGAATCAAAGCAGACGTGCAACAAAAATGATATAACACGTGTTGAGGTATGAATTTTTATGTGAATAAACCCATACTCACTGAAAACCAAACAAACACACACACACACACACACACACACACACACATAGTGTGAATATACAGCTCAGCTCACGTCAGTCAAATCCAGAACAAGCACTAGTACCTTTCAAAACCATTGACCGTCCCAATGCATCTGAGCGCATTTCTACTGCAGTAAATAATGATGTGTGAGAAACCTTTAGTTGCATTCGTCAGGCAACACCAGCGTTTATGAACCTCTTCTGTGTCACGTTTGACACATCCAGCAGCATTATATACATTTACGGGCTTTGTATTGAATTGCTCTGCACAGATTAGATCATGAACTCCTGTAACAGACGTGTGGTAGCGTGACGTCGGTGTCTGTCGCTGCGAAAATACTCCCGGGCTTTTGTCTGCAGAATAATGACTCTTCATTTGAGGTGGCACTTGAGTTGAAAGACGAGACTCTGTTTTGACCTCCCAGGCCACTTGAAGATTCACCTGGTTCCAGGTGAAAGGTCACATGAAGGAATCTCCATCCAGGTGTTGAGGCATTGCTTTATCCTGTATTGTTTTCTCTCTGTCTTGATACGCTTGATCTGCCCATCACAGGGAACGTGAGTCCCGGCGGCCATCTTGAATGCGTCTGTGCCGCCTGGTTTCGAGAGTGAAGCTGTAGGGGTTTTTGTACCGTCGAATAAAGGCCGTTCATGGTGGTGCAAGTCAAAATCCAATCCGGGTACGTGAGCAAAGGATCGATCCTCTCGCCAAAAAGCCTGACTCTGTAATGAAAAAGAGTTGAAATCATTTATGAGGGAACAGTACTGGCGCCGGCGCCGTCACAAATCAACTCAGCTGACATTTCTATCAAAACAGCCGCTTTCATCTTTATCTTTTCCTGTGGGTTGAGACATTAACTGATTCCGATGTCATAAACTGTCTCCACTGAGTAATTGAGTGACTAATTAATCGGGCTGGGCGGTTTATACCAAGTGACAATGGAATTATGGGATTGGGAGTAGATTTCACAAATGTGACCCTGGACCACAAAACCAGTCATAAGGGTCAGTTTTTTACTGAATAAATAAGCTTTCCATTGATGTAGGGTTTGTTAGGATAGGACAATATTTGGCCGAGATACAACTATTTGAAAATCTGGAATCTGAGGGTGCGAAAAAATCAAAATATTGAGAAAATCACCTTTAAAGTTGTCCAAATTAAGTCTTTATTTCTAATCAAAAATTAAGTTTTGATATATTTACAGTAGGAAATTTACAAAATATCTTTATGGAACATATTATGATAATGATTTTTGGCATAAAAGAAAAATCAATCATTTTGACCCATACAATATATTGTTGGCTACAAATATACCCCAGCGACTTAAGACTGGTTTTGTGCTCCAGGGTCACATATAAACAAAGAAAAAGAAACACATTGAATAAACATGGAATTTCAATTAAGTCGAAAGACTCGAAACACTAAGAAAGTATTTTCTTGTAAAACACTATAATACTAAAATATTTTTTTTGACAGTGTACAGTTCATACCGCAGTATATTTGCGTGGGGATTGTTATAAATGAGAATTGCTCCTACAAATGATGACATAGAAGACGAGAGAGGAATGGTGAAGAATCGTGCAAACGTGAGAGAAGTGTGACTGTTACAGCAGTAAGAGCTGCTCTCACTGGTGCAGTATGGTACCTCTGCTCTGCTGTGTTCAGCAGGATGCCAGGGGTTTGTTTACATGTAGTGCCACTGACTCTCCAGCCCCATATTCACTCCCCCAAGACCACCCAGAGCCGCTGAGAGACAGACACAGACAGAGAGAGAGACACTTTCATGAAACGCATTCTCAGAGCTTTCACAAAAACATCTACCCACAGCCTTGACTTTTGGAGAATTTTGAGTAGATATTGTGTAAAGTAAAAATTTTGCATACATCTAATTTGTTAACATATAAATTTATATATATATATATATATATATATATATATATATATACTGTACGTAAACCATTTATTGTATACTGTTCAAATATTTTGGGGTCACTAATAGTTTTTAATGTGTTTGAAAGAAGTCTCTTCTGCTCACCAAGGCATAAAAATAGAGTAAAGGCACAAATATTGTAAAATATTATTACAATTTAAAATAACTTCTTTCTATTTGAATATATAGTAAAATGTAATTTATTCCTGTGATGCAAAGCTGAGTTTTCAGCATCATTACTCCAGTCTTCAGTGTCACATGATCCTTCAGAAATCATTCTAATATGCTGATTTACTGCTTAAGAAACATTTCTATTATATGTTATTATCTGTTTTCAATGTTGAAAACAGTTGTGCTGCTTCATATTTTTAATAACAGTGAAACTTGTTATGAAAGATTCTTTTATAAATAGAATGTTAAAAAGTACAGCATTTATTTGCTTTTGTAACATTATAAATGTCTGTACTGCCACTTTTGATCAATTTAATGCATCCTTGCTGAATACAAGTATTATTTTCTTTCAAAAATATTTTGTGTGTGTGTTACATTAATCAGAACTGAGAGGGAAAATGTGCTTAATTGTCATAAACACAACTTCAAAGTCCACAACGACACACCGATGGCTTCATTTTCTTCAAGCAAAATATAATTTAATATATATTTATTTAGATTTCGGGCTGAATCATCCTTTTCATTTTTATAAACCAAGCAGTACTTTGCTGGCTTAATTTTATAAATTAAGCCGTGCTGGCTTCAGTTACAGGCTGGATGTACATTTTGTCCCTCAGACAGAGGCTTGATGTACCTGGTGGTCTGATGCCCATGTGCGACTGTCCGTCCATTACAAAACCTCCCATTGGCTGACCATCAGGAGTGTATGGGCCACCGTGACCTACTGCACACACACACACACACACACACACACGCATTACACACATACAGTATATTACACAAGAGACGATGCTAACAAGACTCCCTTTCCAGCTCAACCAGACCATTTACTGAAACCAAACTACAAAAATGGGTCAGAAAAGATCATTTTGTAAGCATCCGTTTTGGCAAATGTCTTTGAGGCCCATTGCAAACAGCAAGCCTTTATCCTCACCACACCAACACAACTCACACTTCATCCTGAGGAGTGTGTGTGATGGATAAGGCTGAGTTAAACTAATTCATCCTGAAAAACATTTTAGGGGCAGTTAATACAGCACACGGTCTTGAGTTTAAAAATAGCACAACACAACTGAACAGAAAGCATGTTTGGAGATATTCGATTGGTCCATTTTTGAATTTAAAACTTTAAAACGTGTTTTTTTATTTATGTATTTATACCGTATACCCTAGTAAAAAAGTAATATATTTAAATTACATTTATTTCATACTAAGTATATTTCAAATCTATTACTGAGATATCGCTCAAGACTTGCTGATATAAAAATTATAATTTAACTTTATTTGCCGTACTACTTGTGCACAATGCACATTTCTTAATATTAAGTCTAAAATGTGTTTTAATGTCACTATTACTAAGATTGTATGATCTGTCTTTTAATGCAAGATATTTAAAGTGTAGCTGAAGTGTACTTGCAATAGTTGCACTTTAGCACAATCAAATATACTTCAGTATCTCTTTAGTTGGACTTCAGCAATACTTCCACACAATTAAAGTGCATTAACTACAAAATCAGTTGTTCCAATTTAGCAGACTTTAAGTATACCAGGTTAGTATAGTAAAAGTACAATTGCAGGGTATTTTTATTTAGTACATAAATATGTAAATGTATTTGTAGTATATTTAGCATGAAATCAAGCAGGTTTTAAAAATACTGTAATAACAGTACAATTGTGTAAAATTATTGCAATTTTAAATAACTGTTTTCTATTTGAATATATTTTAAACTGTAATTTATTCCTGTGAGGTAAAGCTGAATTTTCAGCATGTTTGGAGATTGTTTTAAAATTCCTGCACATTAAAACCTTTAAATTAAAAAGTTTTTAAGCCATGGTCTTAAAAACTTGATGCTCATGGCATAAAGCGCTGAAAAAAATAAAAATAAAAATGCAATGCAACAGCCAAATCCATTTATCTCACAAATATTTGCATAGACCAATAATTAAAATATGGTGCAGACGGAACACGAGAGCATGTCCTGGATGAACGGTTTTGCTCAGAGAATTGAAACAAATAAGATCTGAGTCAGTTTACAAGGCACTTGCCTGCGCGGTTGGACTGGTCGATCATCGGTTGGACGATTCTTCTCCTGGCGTTGATAAACCTGATGAAGCAAAGGAAAGAACAGGGGTGAAAACATTAAAAAAAGGCCATAAAAGCACATTTATGTTTTATTAACGCTGCTGGCTTCTGTCAAAGGCATACATCATTACAATTATTGCTCATACTTATGATTATGGATTTGAACAAACCCAGAGTATTAAACTTTGGCGTGCAACTCATCCAGCACCGCTTGTGCTCCAGACATGAATGATTCCTCAAATCATGCAGCTTATTAAGTCTGAAATCATCAGATTTATGATTTTGCCTGGTGGATAATAAAATGGACGAAAAATCCAATAGACAAGCCATATGTAGAGACCAGAATAACAGAGATGAAAGCCAGTAAGGAACACCTAGCAACGCCATAGCAACCACCCACAACATGCTACTGGCGGCAAATTTTTAGAACACTCGTTTATTTGAACACAGAACATAAATAAAACACGTTCCACAGAACTTCAATGCTTTCCGCATTTATTCCCATCCTACGCTTGACCTCTGACCCCCTGACTCAGTGACCTCACACCCCGGGCAGCGGAGCAGCTCTGCTCTTTCTCAGCCTAAAAAATTCCCCGTGACCTCTGACCGCCGGGTGCCAGGGCACAAGTCCACACATGATTAATGACCGCTCTGCGTCTCCCCAGGTGCTTCGCTCGCATTTAACCTTCACAAAGGAGGGGAAGTTCTACTTTTAATTCACAGGAAGTGAATTACACACTCTGTGAGAGGTGTCACCATCTGAAATGTTAAACAGCATATGACATTAGAGTTATGGGTGAGGAGAAGCCTGACTTTACATCAGGCCAACTTTGACCAGACGTAAACATTCACAGTATTCCCTTACTGCAAAAAATAGGAATTTACTGCAAAAGAAATAAAGTCTCAGTTTCAGAGAATATATTGTTATTTTTATTACCACGCTGGCAAACTTTTTTTTTCTTGTTTTAATAATAAATCTAACAATTCTTATAAACTCTTTGGGGAAAAAACACCTTTTATGAAGTTTTGCTTCTCACGTAAATTTATCTTGTCTTAAGGATGTGATAGAAATGTATACTGGAAAACAAGAAAAATCTAAAATTTGAGCTTTGCATATATAAACGTCCGTCAATAAGCTTTTTTTGAAAGAAATTAATACTTTTATTCAGCAAGGATGCATTAAATTGATCAAAAGTGAAAAGGAAGACATTTATAATGTTACGAAAGATTTATGTTTTAAATAAATGTTTTTTTTTTAAGTTTCTATTCATCAACGAATCCTGAAAAAAGTATCACGGTTTCCACAAAAATATTAAGCAGCACGACTGTTTTCAAAATCGACAATAATCAGAAATGTTTCTTGAGCAGTAAATCAGTATATTAGAATGATTTCTGAAGGATCATGTGACACTGAAGACTGGAGTAATGATGCTGAAAATTCAGCTTAGCATCACAGGAGTAAATTACATTTTACTATATATTCACATAAAAAAATTATTGAATTATTGAAATTATTGAAGAGAATCAAGGAGCAGAAAGATTTCACAATATTACTGTTTTTACTACATTTTTAATCAAATAAATGCCTTGGTGAGCATTAAAGCATTATAAAATGCATCATGTTTTTCCCATAGCATCCTACTATTCACATTACAATGTACTGTATGTTATGCATTAGTCTTACACACAAAAAACTATATTAAAAGTTTATAGAGATCACATGGAAAATTTAAAATGCCAATTAAAAATGCATATGTTATAAGATTTTATAATAAATTGTACATATTATGTTGCACACCACAGCTTGAGAAGCACTTGCTGCATTGAAAGCAGAGATAAACAGGAAGAGCATTCAGAGCAGGTACTATAAACACTTCTGTGAGGTTGTAGAGGGTGAGCATCTCGCTCAGCTCCGCCTGGTAGGTGACCAATCAGAGATAGGAGTCGTATCCCCAGCGGGGATGGGCCCGTCCCACTCTTTAAGGGGGTTAAAAGCTGACCCCTCACTGAACCCCTCTTCTCACCACGAGACCAAGTTTACGAGCTTCATGCCGCTGCCTGTTCACTCCAAACACACACACACACTCGTACACGGCCCAACACGCACGCCAAACACATAACAACACTATGCAGCAAGTCAAATATTTGGGGGCCCTTTCTGGTGCACAAGGGAGCAAAGAAACACATAGTACCTTTCCTTCACAATCCAACACAGAACAAACCTGCTGTGCCATATATACACTTATACATGATTACATATACCCAAAAATATGCAACAGTATTAACATATTTGAGAGAAATATATACAATTATAATGAATAAATTCTTAAATATTATAAATAATAATATTAATTAATTAATTATAAATTAATAACATTAAATTATAATAATATGATAATTAGACATATATATATTTTTTTTTTCTTTTATATATAAAATTATATATATAGATATATAGATAAATCTCACTTTTTTTTATATTTATATATTTACATATATTTTAAAAGTTATATATTAATAAAATGCTACAGTATTTTTCTTAAATAAAATAAATTATACATAAAATGTTTATATGTATGTGTGTGTGTGTAATTATAAAATTTACTAGCAATTTCAGTTAAAATGGTTACAATTTATATATATACACACAGCTAGATAGAGTCTATATGGGTGTTAAATGTTTATAATTTACTATATAAAATGGGGATGAAAAGTAACAACTAGTGAAAATATTATATTTAGCTTTTTAATACTAAATATTTATTTGCAAATTATATTATCCACATAATTTAAGTGAAAAGTTGATTTAAAGTGCCCCTATTATGCCATTTCCAATATTGCCTTTCATGCAGTGTGTAATGTAGCTAAATGTGAATGTAAATGATCTGCAAAGTTGTAAAGCTGAAAGTGCATGATAAATAAAGTTATTGTCTCCCAAAATAAAGAATCGACTCAGCGTTTTTTTGACCTTGCATGCATGTAATCCTATTGTAGGAGACAACAAAAACAATATTAGGAAAATGGCATAATAGGGGCACTTTAAAATCAACATGAATTCCAGTTAATGCTTAATGTTCATGCATACTGTCACAAATAAATATGTGTTAAATTTAAATTTAAATATATCTTTGTTTTATATCACTGCTTTTCTTTGTTTTAACATTTGTGAAAATCTCAAAGCTTTCTGATAATTTCCAGGTTTGAATAAACAATAAATCATTGTAGCCTCAGACATTCAGACCCCACTGTACATTCCTAGGCCTCACAGTTTATATTATTTCACCATATGATATTTGTAGCCTATTGAAGCTAAAACTCAACAACAAATGTTCCTGTCTGGAAACCATAGACATGAAGTGTTCTCTTAGTCCCACTGTATTGTGAGTTCATTCAGAGGACATTGTGTGTGTGTGTGTCTCCACGTTTAAATAAACCAGTCCAGCTGTTCCCAGTGATAATTTCAGTTTAATTTGACAGCAGCTCGTTTTCGCCCCTCTCGTTCCCTCACCTGTTTCCTCATACACGGACATACACACCGCACTTTCTGCGCTCTTGTTTGTGTTGGGCTTTTTCCACTCTGGTGATTAAAACGCTAATTAGTTGTCATTTTGATTATGAAGGGCTCTTGAATCCGTGTATCATTCGTTTTTTGATTTAATATTGAAAGTAGGAAAATGAGAAAACGGCTCCTTTTTTCTTTTTCGTTTTTCAAGAATTCATCTTAAATTTTCATTTTTCGTTCTGTTGTTCTCTTTATTTTTCAAAGGCATGACATTTTGTAGTTATTTTGAACGTAACATTACACAAATAAAAATTTACATTTTACCATACGACTATAAATAACAACAAAACAAGAAAACAAAAATGACGTCTTTATTCAACAATTCTTCTCCCCCGAGTTACTGTCTTCCGCCATTTTGGAGAGCATCACAACGCATACGCATACTTTCCCCTCCTAACATAAACAACGCTGATTACGCTCCAAAATGGCAGAAGACGTAACTCGGGGGAGTAGAATTGTTCAATAAATTATGAAGTTGAGCCACTGATGTCACATGGACTATTTTACCGATGTCCTTACTACGTTTCTGGACCTGGGAACATTACAGTTGCGTTGCTGTCTATGGAGGGTCAGAGAGCTCTGATTTAATAAAAAATATCTTAATTTGTGTTCCGAAGATGAACGAAGGTCTTACAGGTTTTGAATTACATGAGGGTGAGTAATTAATGACAGCATTTTCATTTTGGGGTGAACTATCCCTTTAAGATATTTCCCCTCGATGGGGAAAAAATCCAAGTGAACATCAATCAGTACTCGATATTAATTTAAACTGCATATTTAAACTGCTTTAAATATGACTGCTGTTTATTTCCTGTGCACTTCAATACTGGTCTGCGCTTGACTGTCGTCACGTCTGCTTATTGAGTTTATTTAACCCATTTTATTGGAACTGTGTGAACTAGAGTGATTAGGCTACTCACCTTAATGTTGTTCTAAAGGCTTATTATTTAATTAACACAAACATGTCCTGCTGGCACTTGCCAATTTAATGGCAGAGAATGGTGACTTTAGGTTTTTGCATATCTGTCGTAAAATAATCATATGCATCACGTGGCTTATATTCCGAGCATTCTGAAGGTATACTGTGGGTTTGGCGAGAAACAAACCGAAATGGCACGTTATTATAATTTATGAAAATCTATCTTGCGTTGCAGTCCTGTGTGCATTTCATGCCTAAAAAACATGGACAAAACTATGCAAGCTCCAAAAATATGATCCAGACTACATGAAGTAAGGGTTCAGTTGCTGCAAGCATAACCATTGTAAGTGGCGACCGCAATGTGTTTTTGTGTGGTGAATGACTGGCTGCCGAGAGCATGAAGCCATAGAAATTCAAGAGACATTTGGAAACCAAACACTCAGACTATAAAAACAAACCTGTTGAGTTTCTTTAAAGAATATATCTGTCTGTCTATCTATCTATCTATCTATCTATCTATCTATCTATCTATACATTTGCATTGTATTGGCTTGTATGTACTTTAAAACGCCAGACTGTATCAGTTTTTTTTTAAAGAACGAGTGAATAAAAGTTCTTTGATGAACTTAAAAAGGTTCTACTATGACATCATGCTGTAAAATCCTTTTTGTTTCTCATTAGAAATAACAACAGACATCACATTAGATCACTTGCTCATAACTGTTTTCTGGATTTTTTTTGTGTTTAGCTTTGAGTTGATGTTGTGTTAGTTTGATCTGATGAGCACTTACCAGTTGTTGACCTGCAGGACGGTCAGTCCAGTGTCCTGGGACAGCTGCCTCTTCTGTTCCTCAGAGGGGTACGGGTGCTGCGGGGCACAAACATTAACAATCACAAAACATTAAAGTCAAAATAAGGTCAGTTTTGATTTCATGTTGACTTTAAAGCATTTTATGCTTAGATTATAAATTCATGTAAATTTATCAGAGAGTCAAAGGTATGGCCACAAAAAATGTTCATAAGATATAATAGATGTATGTTTGAAAATGTAAAAAAAACTCAATTGGAATTGGAATATCAAGATTTTTCAAATGTATTATGTATTTTAACATTAAAATGTTATATTAAATTGTAAATTAATATATCATATTTATGTATAAATTATTTTAATATTTAATATATAAAATATAAGTAATTAAGATTACATTTTAAAATGTATTTTAATAAAACTTATAATATACACACACACCCATATATATATATTAAAAATCATAATTATTAAAAAAAAAACAGTGAACATGAAACAATAGAAACAACACAAAAATCAACAGGACTTGAAGAATCAGGTTTCAGCTGCCATTGTTCCTCTGTTGAACTGTGTTTAGCGTCTGTACTGTGTTTGCATGTGCAGCCAAACAAATTCCTTGTGTATCTTGGCAAATAAAGCCCTAAACTCTAAAGGAAAGCCCATGCGCTAATCGGAGAGCTGCCAGCTGGGATTTAGACGCCAAGCCACAAAGTCATTACAACTTGCTATCCTGTAACCAAGGGTGACGGCTCTAGCAACCACCAAAGCCTTTCTCTAAACCCAGAGGATACGCACACAGTGACAGAGGAGGTCTCAACCTGTAATTAGACAACAACTGAGCCCAGGTCAGCCATCTAAAGCTCAACAAGATCTAAAATAAAGAGGCGTGCGTATTAAACTGATCCTGAAGCAGGAGTTTTACAGCTAAATTAGAAACAATTAAGATTTAAATAATTAAGATATTTCTTCAGATGAATTACATTTTAAAACTTAATATTTATTTAATAAAACTTGAAATCTCATATTAAAATGTAATTTAATACATAAAAAGGATTTTAATAATTTGTTCTATATTATATAAAAAATTAAGATTTACATAATTAAGATTTTTTTTTCATCTTAAAGACATTAAAGATAATTAGACTTTTAAAGATTAATTACATTTTAAAATGTATTTTAATAAAAATTAAAATGTCAAAATGTAATTGACAGAGGAGGTCTCAACCTGTCATTAGACAACAACTGATCCCGGGTCAGCTGTCTGAAGCTCAAGGAGATCTATAAATAAAGAGGTGTGTGTATTAAACTGATCCTGGAGCAGGAGTTTTACAGCAGCGACTATAAACACCTCACCCATGAATTACTCTCTCTTAACACCTGTTGCACGCTGAGAGCTCTGGTAGCAAATGGTGGGTAACTTTACGAGTGACTGAGCCATGCTGGCTGGAGGTGTGTGTGTGTCCTGTGAAACTCAATGAAGAGTTAAAGGTGTGTGTGGGGTCATTATCCTGTTTACAGAGGCAGTAAAACTGTTAGGGCTCTAATGATCGGTAATTCAGGGTGAACGGTACTTAAAAAGACTAAAACACCCAGCCTCACCCGCTGCAGCTGTGTGTGTGTGTGTGTGTGTGTGTGTGATGGTCTCTGTATTGTACTCAAACACTGCGTCTAGACCTCTACCTAAACTCTACTATACCAGCATTCAACTGTTGGGTCACAACCCCCCCAAAAAAAATCACAGACAGCAGCAGACAAAACAATAGTAGATGCAAATAATAAAATGCAAAAATCAGTCATAGGTAATATAATACATTTGCACATTTTTGGGCATATATTATATACATACACACATATATAAAGACATATAAATAAAGACATTAAACTTTAATATAATTGATGTATAATTGTTTTATTTTATCTTTATTTAATATTTTATAGTTGCATTCATTTATTATTTTTTCTTCCCAAATGTGTTAATACTTTTGCACATTTTGGGGCATAAAGAGTTAATGGTAATATTATATGAGAAGTATATAAATATGTAAAGTAATATACCAATATTTAAACAATGTGTGTGTGTGTATACACACATGAAGTATTACAATGAAGAAATGCTAAATATAAAATATAAATATATTTTATTTAAATATAACTCTATTATTATTATACTGTATTTGTATTTAATATTTTATTAATATATAATTTTATATATGAAGTACTACAATAAAGAAATGAAACAGTTATTTTCAATAATACAAATATTTCAAAATTTTACTTTTTTGCTGTACTTTGGATCAAATAAATGCAGCAGAAGAGACTTCTTTAAAAAAACAAAAAAATCTTACTGTTCAAAAACTTGGTAGTGTATATATATGTTGCTATATTCTTGATTATTATCCTAATTTATTTTATTTTATTTATTTGGTATATAAATACAGCTTTATAGATATTAAATAGCTACTTTTACTTAACTTGCAGTGTAGCAAACAACTTTTTCAAATGGGTAGCTTTATAGTATCTAAATTACGAGTAGCTTGTTACTTGGCAAGCTAGTTTTAAAGTAGCTTCTCCGACACTGCATAAAACAGATTTTCATTTTAAAAAGATGTTCCTGCAAAGACCCAGCAGGCCGACTGTGATTTTCATTAACTTTGCAGCGCATCCCAAAGCGAGGCTCTCCGTTTCATCTCTGCGTCTCGTCTTCCCTCCCTCCCCTCTGCGTTTACCAAAAGTCTGGCCGTGATGAATCACCTCTCCTTTCTTTCATTCTCCCCAGCATTTTTCTTTTCCGCATCCCTTTCTTTTCACGGGCAAGGACGGAAATTCCCCGTAGGTCTAGCAGAGCCTGGTCCCCAGGAGGAGCTGTCAGAGCCATAATGGATGGTGTTTTGATAACAGCGAGTTCGACCCTGGAGAGACCCCGGGGGGGAGGAACCCCAGCAGATCCATCCTCACACAACATGCCTGTGCAGTTGGGCTAAATGAGGTCCGTCGCGCCCCCGCCCCCACCGCGGCCCTCCACTCCTCATTTTTTGGGACTGACGCTAATTGCGGCGCCCTCATTACAACCAAATGCTCCAGCGCTTCAAAGGAAAACTATGTCTGTGGAGAAACCAGCTTAAACAGTAGCATGGACAGCCTAGAAAGTATAAATACAGCCCTAAACAAAAGCCACTGTTACAGGTGGGTGTTAAATAAGTCTTATGTAGTGGCATTAACTGAGACGTAAAAGAAAAATGTTCACCCACAGAATGAAAATTATGTCCTTTCACAGCCCTGCCTCATATTTACTGAATGAAATCCAATGCTTGTTTCTTACTCATTTTGGGCTGCTGATTCTAAAAATAGTGCCTAATTTTGCTCTTGCATGTCACACTTTCTCACAAAATATGTGGAATTTGTAGCATTTTTGCTTTCGACAACCATTTGTAAGGTTGAAGAAGTCCTGTATTATCACTTCATCGTCAGAAAAACTGCCATAAAGACATCATTCCTGGAAAGAATTTATAAATCTTCATTTAGATTTTGTGAGGGGAAAAACGGTTAGTGACAAAAAAAATGTGTTGATATTTTTATATACATTTTTATACATTTTATATACAAGATTTAAAACACACACACACACACTCAAAAGTTTGGGATAAGTTAAATTTTTTATGTTTTTAAAAGAAGTTTCTTATGCTCATCAAGACTATCTATTTGATCAAAAATACAGAAAAAATTTAATTTTGTGAAATATTATTGCAATTTAAAATAACAGTTTTCTATTTTAATATATTGTAAAATGTCATTTATTTCTGTGATGGTAAAGTTGAATTTTTAGTATCATTACTCCAGTCTTCAGTGTCACATGATCCTTCAGAAATCATTCTAATATGCTGATTTATAATCAATGTTGGAAAGAGTTGTGCTGCTTCATATTTTTGGGGACCTGTGATACTTTTTTCAGAGTTCTTTGAAAAATAAAACGTTAAAAAGAACAGTGTTTATTCAAAATAGAAATTGTGTGTTACAATGTACACTACTATTCAAACGTTTGGGGTCAGTAAATTTTTCTTTATTTTTTTAAATAAATTAATACTTTTATTCAGCAAGGATGTGTTAAATGGATAAAAAAAAGTGGTAGTAAAGACATATTGTTAGAAAAGATTTCGATTTTGAATAGAAAAGTTCTTAGCATTTGAATTTGAATCATTTTTTATTCATCAAAGAATCAAAGAAAAATGTATCACAGGTTCCAAAAAAATATGAAGCAGCACAACAGTTTCAACACTGATTATAAATCAGAATACTAGAATGATTTCTGAAGGATCATGTGACACTGAAGACTGGAGTAATGATGCTGAAAATTCAGCACTGCATCACAGAAATAAATTAGATTTTAATGCACATTCAAATAGGAAACCAATATTAGAAACTGTAATAATATTTCACAAAATTTCTGTATTTTTGATCAAATAAATGCAGCCTTGATGAGCATACACTCTTAAAAATAACGGGTGATTTTGCAGTGATGCCATAGAAGAACCATGTTTGGTTCCCCAAAGAAACTTTCAGTGAACAGTTCTTAAAAGAACCATTTTGAAGAACATTATAAAAATCGAAATAACCTTTTTCGACTATAAAGAACCTTTTCTGCATTTGAAAGGTTCCATGGATGTTGTGTGTGTAAGAGTGTATGAGGATCATGATGGAGTGTAAGAGGATCTTTTGAAACGCACATATATACAGCATCACCAAATTAGGCAATATTTGGCCAAATCAAATATTGTGGCAAATCAGCAGAATTTGCCACATTTCAAGAATTTCAAGATACAGATCCAAACCTGCATATTTTTGGGACACAAAACTTAATGCAACTCTCTCTCACGCAGCAAAGAACTGTCCAAAACTAAAAAAAACAAACGCAGTAAAAGTCGAAATGACTCATACATTATGAAGAAATGACAGCATATGGGTCTTGAGCAACAGTAAGAACGCAGAAAATAATGAGAGGGTGAACCATTCCTTTGGTCTGCGCTGCAGTAGAATTAAAGGGTAATCAGCAAGCGGAGGTCTGCGAAATCACATTTACCACTGACAAACACGAATATGGAGATTGAAAATTATCAGAGCCTGGGAAGAAGCAGGGTGGAAAACATATGAATTAGGTTTTGCATGTGCTTCTCGTGTTTCTGAACTTCAAACAGCAGGATGCAGTAACGTCTGCGATGGCGCTGCATGGTGTTTGTGTGTCTGCTGGAGCTGAATGGATCAGGCAACTGTACGGGAATAAAGGTTGGGGGCGCGTTCTTTTACACCCATGACCTTTGACCCCCTAATGATCTCAGGGAATGTTGTAATGTCATCTATCTGCATGCTAACCACCTATTCGGCGCCTGAAGGAAAGCCCTCGCGTCTACAGCTCACAGTCTGTTTCATTGTTCACCTCCAAATCACTGTGAAGTATGTTTAGGTGTTTGTGCGCTGCTACAAATTATCTGTACAATAATGTTATGTGATTATTGTCGTGTTAATTCATAAGTTGATCATGTATTGGTTTAGGCCTGTACTTGCTTCTCATATAAACTGATTTTAGCAAGGGTTTGGCACTGTTGCTAAATCACACAATAGCCCAAATAACCATTTGATACAAAACATGCAAAGTAAAATGGTCTCACTATTTTAACACTCCATATTGAAATAATTATAAATATATCAACACTTCTTGCATTTTATTCACCGTCTTGGATAGATTTTTTTCCAGCTTGTGCATATGGGATTGACTCCTCTTTGAAGGATATTTATGATTCTGCCAATTTAGCAAAAAGAAAGTATCTAATTTTCTTTGCCGTTCAAAAGTTTGGGATCAGTTTGGGATTTTTTAAAATGAAAGAAGTCAGTAAAACAGGGGAGAAAAAAACAGTAATTTGTGAAATAGTATTACAATTTAAAATAACTATTTTCTACATGAATATATGTTAAAATGTAATTTATTCCTGTGATGCAAAGCGACATTTTCAGCATCATTACTCCAGTCTTCAGTGTCACATATACTTCAGAAATGTCTTTACTGTCACTTTTGAACTATTTATTGCATCTTATATATATATATATTTGGCTTTTGATGGCAAAAACTATATATTTCCAAATATATATTTTAAATATATTTCAAAATATACAAAAATGGCCAAAAATATATTAGCTAAAATATGTTTATTTATGTAAATATATTTTCTACCAATATATATTTTGATCATTTTTGAATATTTTTTTAATCTATTTTATAAATATAAATATATATATATTTAAAAGCATTTAAAATGTATATTTTGATTAAAACGTATGCAGTGTGGTTAGCACATGTTTAGCTCATTCCTGTCCTCCAAACGATAATAAAAATACAAAAGAATAAAAGCAATCTGAAAGCAAAAAACTTCTACAATCCTTCCTTCCTTAATGTTGGTTGCTCAGGCAGCCTTGTGTTCTGCTGCTTCACATCTGCTCTCAAGAAGGCAACAAACTACCCACTAATTACCCAATCTAAATCACAGCCTTTATGTGGGACACATTTGAGCTAGTGTTTATGAGGCAGTGTGAGCGCCTATTTGTTTGGAAGGAGATTCAACAAGTTTCCGAATGAGAGAGAAGGAAAATAAGGCTGCAGAAACGTCTGCTCAATTCTCTGAAAGCAATATCACTGATTACATATTCAAAGCTTGAGGGAGGGGGAGGGGCTCCGAGTCGTGCCCGCCCACTTTACCATGGAAACCGTTATCATACACATGACAACAGTAAGGAAACCCTGCTGTGTTTCATCCCAATATATCATTACACCGGTCATTAGTGCATCTGTGTGTGTGTGTGTGTGTGTGTGTGTTCACTAACTAGCCTCTAGGCAATGTGGGAGCGTCACTGAGCTTGAAATAATGTAGCCGTGCAGGTACAGACACGCCGCATGAGCTTCTTATCTTGTTCTATGCATCTGTAAGCTGTTTTATAGGTTTATATGTGGGTATTGATGACCTCCAGATTAATCTTACAAATAAAAAAAACTTTAGGTTACATGATAACTAGTAACGCACATTCACCCGCACTTTCATTAATCTTAACATTAATATTTCTGAAAACCGTAAATTCTGTCATTTACATTTATATTGCATACAGTTTAATGACGATTGGCTTTAGTTCAGCACATTCTGGTTTGGTTTTTACCCTATGAGAAAGTAATACGCAATGTAAATTAAGATTATAAGAGCTTGATTTGCATAATCATTGGGAAAGCAGAGAGGTGTTTTACCGTGAGGTGCTGGAACAGCCATGCCCTCATGATGTTGGTTGCCACTTTGGGAAAAATGCCTCTTTTCTTGTTGTTCTTCCTCTCTTTATCAGGGTCTTCCTCCTCTCCTGTGCTTGGAGACGCAACACTCTGATCCAGAAAGTCACCTGGGGAAAAGAAAGCAATTACACAGCGTTAACAGATGTGAGATAATATTCTTTGTATTTGCATTGGCTGCATTCGTTTTCATTTATATGTAATGCTTTTAAAGTGCCCCTATTATGGATTTTTGAAAATTACCTTTCATGCAGCATGTAACACAACTCTAAGTGAATAAAACTTTCTGATGTCAGACAGAAAAAAAACTGCACTGTAAAAAGTATTAACATGCAGCTGTTACCTTAAAGAGCCATTTCTGCATGGTTAAAGGTAGTTTTGTTGGTATAAATTAATGTATGTAGGACGATTCAGTGATGTTTGATAATATTTTTGACAATTATCTCATTTTACATGCAAAGAAGGCATTTAGATAAAAACCCTACTGGCAAAAAAAAAACAGTGCTTTAATTTTATGCATTAGAAGGAGGGTACAAAATGTCATGAAAATAAAACTATTTTTGAAAACAAACTAAAAAAAACTGACAAAGTAAAAAAAAAAGTATAACATGCCCTCTTCAAATTCAATCTTAAAAAAAAAAAGACATATTACAGTGTTTACAGTAATAAAAATCTTAACCATTAATAATCTTTGAAAGCATATCATCAAAAAAAAATTTATACTTAAGCATCAGAAAGAGGGAACAAAATGTCATGAAAATGAAATTGTAGCTCTTTTTGAAAACGAAATTGACAAAAAAAAGTTAAAATGTATGTCATGGGCCCTTTAAATTCAGTCTAAAAGCAAACAAAAAAAAAGTATAACAAATGTTTACATTATAAAAAAGTCTTAGCCATTAATAGTCTTAAAAGCATACTAGCTCTTTAGTTTTATGCATCAAATAAATTTAGGTTGTTTTTGGAAACAAAATTGACATAAAAAAGTTAAAGGGTTTGACATGGCTCCTTTAAATTTTACCTAAAAGCTTAAAAGAATAAAAAAAAAAGTCAAGCAAATGTTTGAAATATTAAGTCTTGAACATTAGTAGTCTTAAAAGCATATTGAGGGGGAAAAAACAGCCCTTTGTGTTTATGCATCAGAAAGAGGGAATGTATGTCATGGGCCCTTTAAATTCAGTCTAAAAGCAAACAAAAAAAAAGTATAACAAATGTTTACATTATAAAAAAGTCTTAGCCATTAATAGTCTTAAAAGCATACTAGCTCTTTAGTTTTATGCATCAAATAAATTTTGGTTGTTTTTGGAAACAAAATTGACATAAAAAAGTTAAAGGGTTTGACATGGCTCCTTTAAATTTTACCTAAAAGCTTAAAAGAATAAAAAAAAAAGTCAAGCAAATGTTTGAAATATTAAGTCTTGAACATTAGTAGTCTTAAAAGCATATTGAGGGGGAAAAAACAGCCCTTTGTGTTTATGCATCAGAAAGAGGGCACAAAATGTCATGCTTTTGAAAACAAAACTGACATAGAAAGTAAAAAGGGGTGACACAGCTCCTTTAAATTTGTCAAAAACTTAAAACAGACATCAAGCAAATGTTTACAGTATAAACAATGCTCTAGGACAGACTCTGTGCTTCATTGTGATCATTTAACCGTGTGTTTGTCTGTCTGTTGTTTCTCTTTCTCAGGTAGTGAGATACTCCGTCCGAGCCAGACTCACAGCTGCTGTTCTGAGGCACAGCGAACAAAACACACACACACACACAGATGTGGTGCTCGGGGAAGTATGTACTCTGGTTTTTATTGGCCATGGTTGGTGCTCAGAGCAGAGGAGAAAAGTCTTTATATCCATCATGCACCATTTCCTGTCCAGCACACATCCACACACACACACGCAGTTATTTAGGAGCAGTCTACCGGTGTGTGTACTTGCGTGTTTGTGTGTGCGTGTGCAGTCAGAGACCCCCGAGGCGGTGCTAAAGTGTAAATGTATGCTAGAGATGACAAACCTGCAGCAGATCTGTTTCACTTGGCACAGAGCGAGGCCTTCGCAAACGCTCGCGTGTGTATCTGTAGCATAGCGTGTGAGTGTGTTACCGTGCTCGCTGCTGTTGTCTCCATTGTGTGAGCCGGGCCGTCTGCCGCAGGCCGCAGGAGCTTCAGAAGAATGAACAGATTCGTCGTCTTCCCTCCAGAACGCCTAGAGAGAGACAGACAGGTAGACAGAGTAATAAGCTGCGTTCGGCGTAATATACGATTGGTTAAGTACAGTATAGCAGCGCATACCAGAGGCGTGCTGTAAGGAGTAATACAGAACACATGCTGCAAGAGCAAACAGTTGAAGAGTGCTACAGACTGCTGTATATAAACACACGTGCGCATGCACGCACAAACATCTGCGCAGAAATTATAAGACAAACAAACGCACTCACATACATGCACGGGATATTTTGAAAACCCATCTTATCGGCTTTAACCGAGCGAATGAAGCGGATTGATACGGCCCCGGACGCTGATTGGTCAATTGAGCGTTCGAACTGTGCTAAAATATATAATATAATAACAGCTATGATGTGAAACACCTGTGCATCTGGCCAGTGTGTGTATCACTGCACACTGCATGTACAGACCAACTATGAACGCTGCATGTCAGTGACAGCTAAATATTTTTATTATGTTGTAAAGATGCAATCTGATCAGTGTGTTGCATTTAACTGACACTAAACCTAGAGAGAAATGTCTTAACCAGGGGTCAGCAACCATTCGCACACGAGCGATAAGAGCAAGATGGATTAATATTAGAAGAGACTGGGGCTAGTTGTCACAATTTTTACTCCAATTAGTATTTCTTATAGTGACGTTATTTGTTAAAAGTAGTTCAAAGTTTTCATTACATACATACATATATATATAATGTACAAAAAAAAAATAAAACTTTGCTGTTTTATTGTAATGTTCTTTTTGCAAAAAAAAAAAAAAAAAAGAAAATTTTTTTTTTTGGCATTTTTAGAAGCACAAATATTCCAAGTAATCTCTCATAAAAGCTGCAAATGTAAAAATAAAAATCTAAAAATTATACATATAAATTATATATATATTAATTTATTAAAATTGTATATATTGTACATTTCTGAAAAATTGACCCTGTCACCCAAATGCAATTACAGAAACATGATAAATTATAATATATAAAATATATATTATATATATAAAAATTGCATATATTTTACATTTATGAAAAATCGTCCCTGTCACCCAAATGCAATTACAGAAACATGATGACATTAGTATGATATTTTAGCTTGGATATTTTTGGATATTTTACAAAACTAACACTAATTTAAGAGGGTTTTGAACTAGGTGCTTAAAACCAACATTCAAAAGCATTGTTATGGGACGTTTTGTGTGTAACTGAACTAACCTTCAATTAGTTTCCCATGTGACAACTTGCCCCAGTCAATTATATATATGTATTTCATTTATTTATTTAAAAAATGTTAAAGTAACTTATATCTACATTCCAAATTAAATGTTTTATTCAGTGATGAGTTGTTTAGGAAAGCAAATGCTTCAGAATTGAGTCAAACTAAAGTAAGTGGCTTACTTTTTGTTATCCAGTGCCAATTGTGCACAGAATAGCAACATAGTTTGGTCTTCTCGGAATAATACTTTGTATAAATAAGGAGATGTTTAGCATCTCTGCGCAATGAGCAGACGATCTTGTGACATGCTTATAATAACTCAAGATTTTCAACCAGACAAACATAATCCCTAATGTTTCAAATGCAATGATGGTGTCTCTTAAAACCACATCATTAAGAGAAACGCACTTTGAGTTATCATCACATGACACCAAACTCACAGAGAACAACAAACATATGTGCAAACAATGCAGTAAACCGAAAAACATGCTTCAGTGATTTGCATTAGGTATTGAAGACACACACAGCACACTTGACAATGTTAATGAACTCTGATGGATTATTTACAATAAATAATTAACACTTCCCAAGTTTGCTATATATATATATATATATATATATATATATATATATTCTGAAATAACAACATATATTTATTTATTTTTAGCCACTTCAAATCCTTTGTCTTTAGCGACCAGTTCAGGTGCTGCTGCAGTTTGACACCAACAGTTAGGAAGACTGTTATCTAAAACACTTTGTTTACTTGTCTCCGCCAGGAACCAAATATAATTAGAAATCTGGGAGTTTTGAGTAACCTGCTACATAAGATTGAGAATGTCTTTTTACTCGCTAAAAGGTTTCATCACACTTGTGATCATGTTACTGTGTCATTATATTCAATTGGGGAACGTATAATGTGAATTATCATATGATCTGAAATAATTTTGTGGGATTTAATTATGCATAACATGGACACTGTATAATGTGAAGAGTTAAGTTTCATTTAACCTCAAAAGAGCAAAAATGATTCATTATAAAATGACAGAAGATTGATTATCTGCTGTTATTTAATATAGACAAGGAAGACGGATAGTCTGTGGCCGTATTGTATCACATGAAACAGGAGTTTCAGGCCTCCCCACACAAACAAACTGTCCGGATAGTGTTTCAAGTTTGCTTCGCTACTGTATTTGAGCGGCTGTATTTGAAATTATAACTTCAAAATATATTAATGTATTATGAAAAGCGTATATTTTAGGTGCCTTTATGTTTTTTTATGTTTATTTATTTATTATACAGGTAAAAAAAAATGTTTTTAATGCACAAATATTCCATATATATGCAAATAAATATAGACAAATTACAAAAACATTTAAAATAGGTTTCATAACAACTTTCCATTTGCTGGGGAAAAAAAAAAACTTTTCTCACTAGAGACCCATAAATCTTGATCATATTATATACAGTGTTGGGGAAAGTTACTTTTAAAAGTAATGCATTACAATATTGCGTTACTCCCTAAAAAAGTAACTAATTACGTTACTTAGTTACTTTTTATGGAAAGTAATGCGTTACATTACTTTTGCGTTACTTTTGCGTATTTTTTTTTCCATTTAATTTCATATTTATGTTATATGTTAGCATCTATTAAACTTTTAATATAACAAGTAATTCACTTTTTCATGAAAAAGCTCTAGTGGCTTCCTGGCTCTGTACAAAGCATGAATGTACAGCATTCAAAAGCAAACAAAAGCAGAAAGATTTGAGCAGAAGACTTGCCTGGTCTGTCCCGCCTGGAGTGCGTGTAAATTCTTCGCCGTCAGATCTGGATCCCCCGTCTTTATCATCCACCATCAGATCAGTGGGCATCTTCCCCTTCAGACAGCTGATGTAGCGGTGACAGAAATTGTCACACAGCTCATGCACCTACGACAAGGGCAGACATTTATCATCAGTGATCGGCCTATATGATATTAACATGATGTAGGCTGCGTCGCTCATAATAATAATAATAATAATAGTAAGTGAAAGCCCAACCTTCTCTAATTCGAGGAGATGAAATCGTAACACTTGTATGGCTTGAATCATCTAAAACGAAACGACATATCAAGTCACAAAAATGCTTTGTGATTATCGCTTCATTTTATCCAGCAATAAAAATGGAACTGAATTTTGTCAAGTAAAATTATTAGCATTTAAATAAAGCATTTTTTTAAAATCTCAAACCACAGGGCGACCTACCAAATTATCCAAGTCTGGATTCGACGAGAAGAAAGGTTTTTCCGCCCTTATCTGAAATTAAAAAATAGCGATCGTATCGTTAGTCCGTAGGCTAATATCGAGGCACAATTTTCACACAAAATTAAATTGGGCTGCGTTGTTGGTTGCTGATATTAGTACAGCTTTTTGCTAATATAATAAAGCGCTGATAGAGAGGTAAACGTGGGCTGACCTGTTTTGAAAATACTGTAATATCTTCGTCAAAGGACTCGGACGAGCAGACGTCGCCGGTCACTCCGCTCTCTCTCGGCGTACAAGTCGCCAATTCACATTTTTCAAAAACTAGTGCAAGCAGAGGAAAGAGAGGATGCCTGCAAAACAAATCACATTCAGTGGCGTTTACAGCCTATTTGTGGCGAAAATAATGCTTTGTTAGTTCTCAAGCACAGCACTTTCATACTCGAGGCCCTGTCTTTTTTTCTTTTTCTTTTACAATTAAAATGAAATATGAAATTACATATATTTTTATGTGAAAATGTAAGTTATTTTATTTTCAGGTTCATGCAAAAATGTATGGTTGTTGTGACAACAACAGGCAAACAAAGTTCATTCTGGCATTGCTATATGTGACCCTGGACCACAAAACCAGTCATAAGGGTCCATTTTTTGACATTGAGATTTATATATAATCTGAATGCTGAATAAATAAGCTTTCCATTGATGTATGGTTTGTTAGGATAGGACAATATGTAGCTGAGATACAACTATTTGAAAATCTGGAATCTGAGGGTGCAAAAATAAATAAATAATACAAATATTGAGAAAATCACCTTTAAAGTTGTCTTTAAATTCTTAGCAATGCATATTACTAATCAAAAATTCAGTTTTGATATATTTACGGCAGGAAATTTTCAAAATATCTTCATGGAACACGATCTTAACTTCAATAATTTTTTGCATAAAAGAAAAATCGATCATTTTGACCCATACAATGTATTTTTGGCTATTGCTACAAATATAACCGAGCGATTTAAGGCTGGTTTTGTGCTCCAGGGTCACTTATCTTTAAAACCTGATGCAAATGAGGGAAATAAAAGTTAATTTGTGCTAAATGTAGTCTATTTTATTTTTAAAAATCACACTGTCTACATAAAAACATTTCCATTATTTCCAGTATTTCAGTATAAAGTAGTCTTAACAGAACATCGTAAATTAATAACACAATATAACAAGCGACTAGAAATTCTACCCTACAGCCTAACTCATCTTCATAATAAAACTCATAGTCTACTAATCCCACATACCCGTAAATGGCGTCTTTATCCCGTTTAAGTGCGTCGTTAACGAGCGACGGGACGCCGGGAGCCGCGGGGAAGTGGTGAAGCGGCGGGCCGTGACTCACATGCACCGCCTGCATCGCTCTGGCCGCGTGAGGATCCCCGTACATCGGAGACGGGATCCCGACCGCATCCATTCCGTAATGGAGCAGATCCTCGTACTGAGCACATTCAAAACGTGGAAGTTAAAAATCAGACCGGGACTTTGTTGTACACACATCTAGCAAATGTTGATATAACAACAGCCAAGGGAGTATGAGAAGGGAACAAAGCTCGATTTGTTTAAAAGGTAATAAATTGAGCATCAAAAACGAATTAACGAATCACATGTCAGTAGTTTCGAACTCAAAACAAATTAATTAACGACGGATCAGTTTTCATTTTTAGGCTCTTTGTGACTTCTAAATGTGCCAGAACGTACAACGGAAACTATTTATATATAATGCGTTGCCATTAAAACATTTTAAACACTTTTTTTTTTTTAAACACGGGAAGTTTCAATCCACATCTTATGTCAAATTTAAATTAATGCTATCTTTAAAATTACCGTATCATTAGAAACCGACATCTGGCTAAAACAGGCTATTTGCTTTTTATTTCAACGCAGTTTTCTTGTAGCTAACTGCAATTTAAAAATGAATTTATAATGCAAAATATAGCTTAAAATAACAGTGAAATGTAGCAATGTTTTAACGGCGTATACAAATAATTACTCAAATTAATATCGACGTTATGTAGCATTAAATCGGTCTCGGATAGGTATCCAACTAGAGAAATATGAGTTATAAACAGGCTGTAAGCATCAAATTACGCTTTTGGCTGTCAACTAGCCTATATATGGAATTAGTCGAGATAATTGCAAAAAATAAAAAAAATACAAATTTGAATTTGATACAAATTAAAATGATTTTTAGACGGAAATTAAAAACGGCGTGCTACAACAAATGGAAAAATATGGGAGTTCCTTTTTTGGTGGTTTTATTGCTGTGTGTATTCCAAAACAACTTAGGTGTATAAACACACATTATTCATTCAAGGAATTATAGGACATCTGACTGTAATTATGTCCATTTTATCAGCTTCCTAGTAGAATTAGTCTTGACGGCCACGTTTGAGTGTTTTTGTTGCGGAGGTTTTTACGCACCCGTTGCGCCATGAGGACTCCGTGTCACCGACTCCCTTTTCTCAACGCGTCCGGATCTCAGTGCAGCGAGGTCGGCGAGTCCCACACCGCATTCACAACTCTCCCAAACACCCAGCTCAAGTGCCCCTGATGAACAATAACATCGTAATCCACCCAAATGCTCCTGGTCAGCTTTCGCAACAAACGCAAAGCTGGCTATCTATCAGTAAGTTAGAAATCCAGTTCTCGACGCTCCGAAATAACCAAAGGGCGCTTCGGATGTCTGCTCTGTTTTTCTATTTCCAATCGAATATTTGTAGCCAACGGGTGAAAACGCAAACTCCATTCAGGTCTTTGATCGCTTGGCTGGTTATTCCTAATGCAATAACACCTCTATGAGATGTGAGGAGTGTGGAGAGGGAGGAGGAGGAGGAGAGGGCGTTTGGACTTCTTAAAGGAGACGTAAAGGAAGACCAAAGCGAACCCGTGCGTAAAGAGCGCACAAATGTATTCCGAGCATGCAGGCCACTGGAAAAATCCTGTGTAGCCCTTCAGAAACCAAATTTCATACTAGACCAGATTTTTTCATACTTGGACCTAAGCCAACCAACAGTCTGAAAGTACAAGGTAACAGATGACCAGCTTAGATTTACCAGTGGCCACTGTAAACCAGCTAGAAACCATTTCGTGTCCCATTACTACATGAAAAAAAAAGAAACATCCTAATGGCACGTGAACTAAAAGTTTAAACAATTAGAAGGAAACTGAAATATCTAGCATTTTTACTATGTACATTTCTAAAAGTGTGAAAAATACCTAAATGAAACACCGTACAGGTTTGATTTACTAAATGCATCCACTAATTTAAGTCAGAGAACGAAAAGGACCAGCAGTGATCTAATGTAAGCTGTATTTATTAACCATCCTTATGGCGCCCTCTACTGGCATTATTTGTGTTGAAAATATTCCCGCAAGCCTAACACTGACGCGACTGCTTTATAACTGCTTGACTTGAAGCTTTAGACTAAATGCCTTTATTTATTTAACTTTTATTTTTTACTTAACCTGAATAGTTTAACCTATAATGTTAACTGACAATGACAACAGTTTTCAATATAAGCTGTTTTACCGAGACCTTTTCTCGTTAATGAAATATTGAAAAACATTCCATTTTTGTTGCAGATCTATTTTTACTACATGTAAGCATGTAATACTCGTTTCCATCAGATTTTATAAAAAAAAAAAAAAAGTTAATAAAACAACCACCACCTTTTTTACCACTAGGTGGCGGCATATGAACGGATTTGACTCGACGCTTAGAGCATGGACCGAATTTGGGTTTGGAACAATTCACTTTAAAACGGCTTCACTACTCTGACCATTTCCACTATTACAGATTTCTCGGCGTTTTTAGTTTGTATTAAAATAGTTTTTAATCTTAAGTACTTTGTGTTTCCCTCAAGTCTACAAAATCTACTTGTGTTTTTGTTTCAGAAAACATTTCTCAAAAGCTAGCAATGGCATTTTAATGACTTTGCCTCTGACTGTGCTGAGAGTCTGAAAAACTGGAAACTCCTGATTCAAGTTCAACAACCACCACATTTTACCTACTTATCTCTTCGTTTTTGAGACTTAACTGGTCAAGATTTAGGCCCAATGTATATTACATGCACATTTTATAAAGAAATGATCATTACACGCTACATGCTACAAGCTGATCATTTGCTGATCAACCTGCAACTGGGATCTAAAAACCAAACCAAACAATTTTCCGAGGCTGCTGCTCACCTCATGTCTGATTGCTTCTCAAGACGGCAACTGACAATCACATAAGCAGATGACAGTATAAACAAAATAAAACCTTTCAAAATTATGTAATTTTTCTAGTGAAATATGGCATAGGTTTGCTCAGTTATGCTCAGCTCTAAGATTTTTTATCAGCATTTTGCACTCTTTGTTGTTTTCTAAGTAGCCTATATGTATAGTTAAAGTCATGTTTACATAAACCTTGCACAATCTGCAAAATACTAATAATTAAAAAAGAAGGATCATAAATCGCACGTTGCTTTATTTAGTACTACCCTTAAGCTTTTTCACATAACAGACATTTACATGCAGTCCACAAGACACAATAATATCTGCATTTATACAAATGAAGCAGTTCAAAAGTTTATATATTGATTATCTATACTGTGCATCATTACCTGAATGATCCACAACTTTTTTATGATTTGTTTTTAGGGTAAGTCCCATGTTTGCCCTGAGCAGTCCTTGTTCTGCAATGTTCTTCAGCCAAATCCTCCAGGTCTTGTACATTCTTTGGTTTTCCAGCATCTTCTGCATGTCTAGATTGTATGATTTTGAGTTCCATATTTTCACATTGGTGTCAACTTTGAGGGACTCACACACAACTATTACAAATGCTGAAAACATTCACTGATGTTTAAGAAGGAACACAATGCATTAAAAACAAGGGTGTGTAAACATTTGCACAGGCTGATTGGGAGTAAATTGTTCTTATTTTGTCTTCTGGGAAATATGCAAGTATTTTATGTAACTTCTGAAGGGCAGTACTAAAAAAGATCTTTAAACAAAATAAAGACAATTTCCACCAATCATCATGTTCAAAAGTTTACACCCCCTGGCTCTTAAAGGGATAGTTCACCCAAAAATAAAATCTGTCATCATTTACTCACCCTCAAGTTTCACCAAACCTGTATGAGTTTCTTTCTTCTGTTGAGCACAAAAGAAGATGTTTTGAAGAACACTGGTAACTAAAGAGTTGACAGCAACCACTGACTTCCATATAGGAAAAAATACTATGGAAGTCAATGGCTACTGACAACATTTTGGATATCCCAGTATTTTGCCTTGAGCATCAGTGAATGTTTGCAGTTTTGATCATTCAGGTGACAACACACAGTATTAAGCACTAAATATCACGCGTATTATAAATTAGCAGTACTAAATAAACACAAAATGCATTTTTTATAATCGATTTATATAATGGGTCAAAATTATTGATTTTTCTTTTATGCCAAAAGTCATTAGGATTTTAAGATCATGTCCCATGAAGATATTTTGTACATTTCCTACTGTAAATAAATCAAAACTTAATTTTTGATTAGTAATATGCATTGCTAAGAACTTTTGATTTTTTTGCACCCTCAGATTCCAGATTTTCAAATAGTTGTATCTCAGCCAAATATTGTCCTATCCTAACAAACCCTACATCAATGGAAAGCGTATTTATTCAGCTTTCAGATGACATCCTACATCTCAATTAAAAAAAAAACTGACCATTATGACTGGTTTTGTGGTACAGGGTCACATGTGTTCTCCTAAACTTTGTTCGCTGTAAGTTTTAAAGCAAATACGTTTTTATTGGGAAATAATAACCCAGACCTACAGATTAAGGTGAGAGGAGGCACTAGACTAGGTGGCAGGACTTTGGCACAGCCCGTCACACCGGAGATCCCTCGGTCCAAAACCGGCTGCAGTCGTTCCAACGTGACGTCATTGCTTCCGCAACACCCCCCATCACCCCCCACCCCCAGTGTCGGCGGCTCTCGCCCGCTGCTGACTACACAATCCAACATGGAGTAACGAGAGATGGGGCTCCTCTTCGAGACCAGCGCGCAGTCTTCAGCAACGGCGGGCGACGCGAGGCGAGAAACCGTCGATATAGCCAAAGGGACGCTGCATAACGCGAGGATTAACCAGATGCATTGCAAACCGTGACGGGTAAAGCGCAGTGCGCGAAGAAAGAACGAAAATAAGGAACGCCGAGAGACGGATTTGGGGGAAACTCGTTGATGCACTGGACTTTAAAAGAAGGCGAGGTGGAAAATCGAGACGACATGAAGCCCGAACGCTGCGTGCCCGCGGTGGGATATTATTTTTATTGTAGGTGAAACGTGGGGAAACATGACTGAGGAATCGCACCCAGACGAGTGAGTATTCACTTTTTGCGAAAACGACGCATGTGGACGCGAATGGAAATCTCATCCTGTGTCCAAGAATGCGTTGCCGAGCTAAACGAGGGGTCAGTCCGATGCAGGGAAACCGTGCATATGCGCTTCTGCGAGAGACGCTGGAGATGTTAATACTAAGAAACAATGCAGTGTCAAAGAGATTTGAGTGTTGGGCCCCTGCTGCGGGGCTCTGGTCTCAAACCGAGAAGGGGGGAGGAGGAGGAGGGGCTCGAGCGGAAACATTTTGTGGAGGGATCCTTTACTGAATACTTTATATCACGTCGACGCGAAAGGCGAATTAGCGCTGCGAGGAAGCAGATAGACGACTGCAAAGTTTCTAAACACACAACGCTAGAGCAACGAGCTCGTATGCGCTCCCAGAGCGCCCGTTCTTGGCGTCTTTCTTTGTGGTGGTCTGACATGCTATATCCGCCATTTCTTTTTCGTGAATCGCTCACATTTGCATACTGTCCTTCATTCATAAAAATACAGACGGGGGCGCGTGCAGCAGAGAGCGCCTCAGAGCCGTGCTGATGGTAAAGCAGGCCCTATATGGCATATACAGGCCTATATATGCTTTTAAATGTTGAATTTAAGCAGGCAGCTTCCTCCACTTGCAAGAAACAAACGCGAATACAAACATGCAATGAGCTGCATGATCGTAGCGCACAGTATTGGCAACAGTAGCCTATATACTTGTTTAGCAAGTTTTGAGTTTTTTGCGACATTCTTCTGCCTAACATAAACACTCATATCTCACGGTAGTTTGACTCAAGCCGATCAAAGTCTCTCTGATAGAATTAGGGCCGAGTTAAACGGCTCGTTAACGTAGTGAGCTCTTTATGGGGCTTAAAATGAACGTTTGGAACATACACTCAATCTTTATTAACAAGGTGTTTATTTAGTCTGTCTTTTATGCCGGAATCCGTTTTGATAAAACGATTATGTGAGTTTTTATCGTTAATGCTAATGTAATGAAAATTATTCGTTTTAATAATTATTCTGAAGGAGACTGGTGTTGTAACATTTTTTTTTCAACGCAACTTGTATTGTTACAACGCAATACAGTATTTTACAGTAAACTACTGTACAGTATTATAACCTGTGTAAATGAATGCGATAAAGAGTGATGTGTTGTTATTACCCCCGTTGTAACGCCAATTGAAAACCTAGGTGTTTTATATTCTGAGCTTTAATTCATTATGATAATCATATTTAGCTACCTGTTCAGGAAACAACTAGAAAAAGAGTTACAAAACAGTTCTAACACGTGTGCGTGTTTGTTTAGTCACATCAAAAACATAATTTTCCTTTCACACAGTTATCCAACGTCAACTGTCTTTAAAACTTTTAAACGTAATGTTTTTTTTGCGATATATTTATTGTGTG